TTAAACTACAAGTCGCTAATGTTCGCATTTCTTTCTTACGAGGCACACATTCCTTTTGACTTGTTTATGTTTGAGTAAAGATAACGCTTCAGTCAACTTCCGTGTACGCATGATCAGATCGTTTGATACATGTATCTAAATACTGGGCTGCGGTAAAACAATTCCCAATCAGACATCTTGTTCCCAACTATTGAGACCCTTCCGTGGGTACCCGGGTAGAGTCGGGTAATAGGGGGTCGGGTACCCGGGTAGAGTCGGGTAATAGGGGGTCGGATACCCGGGTAGGGTCGGGTAATAGGGGTCGGGTACCCGGGTACGGTCAGGTAATAGGGGTCGGGTACCCGGGTATAGTCGGGTAATAGGGGGTCGGGTACCCGGGTAGGGTCGGGTGATAGAGGGTCGGGTACCCGGGTAGGGTCGGATAATAGGGGGTCGGGTACCCGGGTAGTAAATTTGTACTCGTCCCAGCCCTAGGTTGTTTTATCATACATTCATGCACTTACCTTATCGCTGTGTTCAACGTCCACTCAAACACATCACAAAGAATATTCCCACACGACTTCATTGTAACGCGTACAGTTTAGCAACGCCAATAGTGAGTGTCTAATGGCATGACCATCTCAATTGTAAACGAAATGTGTTTGATGGAGTTAAATTGACATGCTCCGATGCAGTTACTGGAGAAATGTGAACGTCGTCTGCTTCCCTTTATTGGGTCTGATATGGCATACAAAACTCGTGCAACGGAAGTACGCCCCGATTGGTTAAATTCGTAACCATGACATCACGTGGCAATGCAGCCGAACACCTGCGTAAAATAATAAAAATATACAACACGCGCGGTGCATCCAACCTCACATTACATTTATTTTGTTTCCATAAATAGTCTAAACAACGTATTGACATCAGCAATGAGTAATTGTGACTGTAGGTAGTCTAGCGGTTAAAGCGTTGACTCGTCCCGCTGACGTCACGGGTTCGATTCCCCACATCCATGGGTTCAACGCGTGACGTCATTTCCCCATCTCTAATGTCGTGATAGGGCTTGACAAATTCAAAGACCTGCATCAGCCCTCGTGTTCTGAGTTTTTTTTAGTTTGGGCGGAGAGCGTTCGCACGTCACGCTGAAGACCCGGGTTCGATTCCCCACATGTGTGAAGCCCATTTCTGGTGTCCCCTGCTGTGATATTGCTAAAAGCGGCGTAAAACCATATTCACTCACTTATTTGTGCTAAGGCGCCATAGGCATTCAGTGTTTGAGTGAGTGAGTGAGTGAGTATGGTTTTACGCCGCTTTTAGCAATATCACAGCAGGGGACACCAGAAATGGGCTTCACACATTGTACCCATGTCGGGAATCAAACCCGGGTCTTCGGCGTGACGAGCGAACGCTTAAACCACCAGGCTACCCGACCGCCTCTATTCAGTGGTCAACAGTCACCTTTGCTTGTCAGTCGAGATGACAAATTGTAACGGGTGTCCAGGCTCCGTAACTTTCTTGATTGCGCGTCAACGTATCATGATGTCATGGAGCGTTGCTCATAATGTTAATCACTGGTTTATTTGGTACAAAATCGATTATTTAAGTCCGCCGTCATTTAGCTGGAATATTGACCAGTGCGGCATAAAACATCTACCCACTGAACTAAGCCACCCCAAACAAGTATTTACACAGCATAACCTCTATCCTGAGCAACTAGTACAACACATGATAAACATCACCAATAAATCCCAGAAATCTCCCCGTCAACAGTCTGCACCCCTTGTGATCAGCCTCCCCTACTTTGGAACAGTTAGCCACAAAATCCAGAGACTCTTAAAGAAACAGGCCAACATTGATGTAGTTTTCAAAAGAAGTCATACTATTCAGAACACAATTAAAGCAACAGGGAAACCACCATCCAGCCACAAGCTAGAACCATCAGGAGCAGTGTACCACATGTACAGTCCATGCAATTGTGGACAAGCTTACATAGGAGAAACATCTAGGCCCCTCAAAACCCGAATTAAGAAAACATCAAAGCTCTGTCTCCAAAGATGACTCTAAATCAACTCTATCAGACCACATCCGTGACAACCCAAGCCACAGCATTCAGTGGGAGAGAGTCACAACCCTCGCCACCAACCTCAAAGACTTCAAGATCAGGAAACTACAAGAAGCCATCAACATCAAAAGACTTCAGCCCTCAATCAACCGTGACCAAGGATATCACATACCCCCGGCGTACCATCAACTCATCAAAGACCCCAATCAGCCATAATCCCGTTGTTTATATTACTGGCTTCATCCTTTGTTTATGTCACTAAATTCTTATCCTTACTTAGTACTCCAACTTCTGTATGCCTATCAAAGGAGGTACTCTATATTTTTTTAAATGTTCATTTTTACATGGCCCTCCCAAATATGTGTATTGTTTTAGGACCCTCCCCCAGAGACTGATATTTGTCTTTACCCTACCCTGATTCTCTCTGACAAACAGGAAAGGTTGGTTGGTTGGTTTGTTGTTCAACGCCGCATCCAGGAAAGGTTGGTTGGTTGGTTTGTAGTTTAACGCCGCACCCAGGAAAGGCAAATTACTCTAAAATATCGCTCCGTATGTTCACCATGCTGTGGTTAAAAATATAGTCCTACTTTGTAAACGGGGGGGGGGGGGGGGGGGGGGGGGGCACGGGTGGCCCAGTCGTCTAAGGCGCCGCGATTCGCTGTGCAGAGTTGCGTCCCCTGGTTACGCCAGAAACCTGTGGTTGTGGGTTCGAATCCCGGTTCGCCCCCATTATGTTTCTAGGTTTGTCAGCACCATACCCGTGCTCGTGGGTTTCACCCAAGTGGTAAACGTCTGAGACCTGCATCACTTTGGGCTTTCCTCCCACATTAAGCTGACACGCCGCGATATAACTGGAAAAAGCGGCGTAAAATACAACTCACTCACTCATCTGACAAGGACACATTGTGTCTGTGCACTGCCTGTAAACATTTATGGCGCAGGCTTTAACGGCACCGAAACAAAATGTCGCCAATTTAATTTGGCGAAACCGACAAATGACCAATGGGTGTTTGTTTGTTGTTTGTTGTTTAACGCCGCACTCAGCAATATTCCAGCTATATGACGGCAGTCTGTAAATAATTGAGTCTGGACCAGACAATCCAGTGATTGACATCATGAGCATCGATCCACGCAACTGGGATACGATGACATGCATCAACCAAGTCAGCGAGCCTGACCACACGTTAGTCGCCTCTTACGACAAGCATGGGTTGTTGAAGACCTATTCTATCCCGGATCTTCACGGGGGGAGACAAGCATGGGTTGTTGAAGACCTATTCTATCCCGGATCTTCACGGGGGGAGACAAGCATGGGTTGTTGAAGACCTATTCTATCCCGGATCTTCACGGGGGGAGACAAGCATGGGTTGTTGAAGACCTATTCTATCCCGGATCTTCACGGGGGGAGACAAGCATGGGTTGTTGAAGACCTATTCTATCCCGGATCTTCACGGGGGGAGACAAGCATGGGTTGTTGAAGACCTATTCTATCCCGGATCTTCACGGGAAAGTTTGCATGTGAACCTGTGTGTATAACAGCAGCTGTTGGCTTTGTCGAGGTTCCGTCGTCGCCATTTGGTGCCGTTTTCTCTCGGGGACGTTTTGCTGAGGTTACGTTTCAGATATAATAATTTTATTAAGATTGGTTTTTAAAACTTGCGTCCGTTTTTAAACAAACAGGCGTATTGTTTACATTAAACTATGCAATACTTGTTTCATGTTGTTTTCTTTAAAATAATAAAAAGACAACAAACACCAGAACTCTGTGGAACATTCGGGAGATGAGAATCAGCGAGAATATGGAGTGAGGCTAAAACGGCACCTCAGCTAAACGTCACCGATTTCTCGGGCGAAAACGGTACCGCATTTGGCGAAAACGGCACGCATTTGGCGAAAACGGCTACTATGTGTCGGGTGAAAACGGCTACTTTGTGTCGGGCGAAAACGGCTACTATGTGTCGGGCGAAAACGGCTACTATGTGTCGGGTGAAAACGGCTACTATGTGTCGGGCGAAAACGGCTACTATGTGTCGGGCGAAAACGGCTACTATGTGTCGGGCGAAAACGGCTACTATGTGTCGGGCGAAAACGGCTACTATGTGTCGGGTGAAAACGGCTACTATGTGTCGGGCGAAAACGGCTACTATGTGTCGGGCGAAAACGACTACTATATGTGTCGGGCGAAAACGGCACCTGTACTTTTAATAACGATAAGAGCGATGTGGTGTATTTACATGTTATCTGATGTATTTGATGTATTTAAATACAGTTTCAGCTTGACATTGAGTTAGATTGGGTACTTTTAAGGTACTTAAACTTCAAAGCGTATCATGTTTTCACAATAACTTATAGCTGCGCCTCCTGTCGCGCTGTCGTTTCCGCCCGGTGACGTTTTGCTGAGGTGCCGTTTTAGCTGTAACCCGAAAATATGTGCCGATCGTTACCGTGGTTCGAGACAAGTGGAGTGTTGACATTAGATCATAATGTAAGATTTCAGTTAGGATAATAATGTTACTTCGGCATCAATGCACTTTACCGGGCGCAGCCCGAGCTCTACCATCCGCTCAATTACCGCGCTATAGTGCGACCGCTGTCTCGCTATACCGTTACCGTGTCCCACGCTCCAATGCACTACTCCCGTTACTTCATCATGAAATATTAGTTGTGTTAAAAAGGTTTCATTATATGTGCAAAATATACAGTTTGAGCCCGAAAAGTTTCCGTTGCAACCTATGTTTGTTGGCGCCGTTTTCGGTTCTTTCAAGTGCCGTTTTGTCACATAAATGATCCTCTAATCTCATGTTAGCTAAGCTTTGGCTCTTATGCGTGATAGAATACGATTAACTTACTTGAAAAGTTCATACTCTATTATTACGCCGAGTCTCAACACCAAATACGCGCGTACCGCTAAAATGTAAACAAAAGCACGTGTTGGTAGTAACGGATGAGGAAGTCAGCTGGCGGAAGTTGGTTTTCAAACGTCCTTGACCGTGTCACTGTCGAGAACGATTGAAAACGCGGGAGAAACTTCTGAGCTTTGTGAAATTTATGTCAGTAATAGTGAGTATATATCAACACATTGTACATGTATGTCATATTAAGAAGTTGTATGTTTTATAATTCGGATGAGGCTGGCCCAAAAACTCACTTTTATGTGAAAACCGGGAAGTTCTTGTGACATCGTGAGTAGATAGTTCAGGTTGTTAGTAGAGACGTCAAACGTCCATGTAACAGTTGGTGGTTGTTTGTGATTGTATACGTCTGTATGTGGGACGAAATAAGCAATGTCGACTTCTAAGATCTAGTAAATAACCTAGGAATTGCCATATCCATGAAATATCTCCACTCTATGGTGAACTCATCGCGAAATTTGATGTTGGTGTCCATGTAAATTTCAGGATCGGGAAGGGCTGAATATACGCTGAAGCAATATGTATGACCAAATAGATCTACTATTTTGAATATTGAAATGGTCCAATACAGTTGTGTTTCAATTCGTATCCAAATGTTGTGATATTTGAATGGAGGTACAGGTCTCAAAGTTTAAATTTTTACCAACTAGCCATATGGCTTCAACTTCTTCAAGTATTTTTTCCAGGTAGCCAGTGGTAAAATAAAAAAGTCAAGCCACAATTGTAGGTAGCCAAAAGCATTTGAAATTAGCTTTTATCAAATAACTATTATAATATGTACAAGTTAGTCTTGGAATTGTTCTTTTAGTGGAAACTTCACTTGATTTTTGTTACTTAAATTGTGACTCGAACAATGATGCAATTTATGTTACTATATACAAATGATATAGGCATATCCTTGCTTATCCATTGAGCATTGTCAACTAAAATAAAGTACTAATTACATTAATATTTATGTATTTCGGTTCATTGTCGACTTTAGGAGGAATTATTTGAGAGTGCAGTTATCAGCAGACATGTTTTCCAAGATCAGCTTGTATTTATTTTTGTGTCTACAGATGTGTAGCAATAGAATTTAGTTGCCACAAGATTTTTTTCAAGGTAGTCATTTGGCGACCTCTGAATTTCAGACAGAAGACAAATTGAAATTTAGGTCGCATTGGCCATCGTTTTAGTCGCAGCTTTGAGGCCTGAGGTATGTTTGAGGAAGTGAAGGTGAAATCATGACCATTGATCCACACAACTGGGATATGATGACATGCATCAACCAAGTCCGCGAGTGTGACCCCCCCGTCCCATCACAGAGCTACAAATAAGAAGCGTACTAGTGTAAAATACCCCCCTGAAATATTCCAAACCCAATTACTTTCAATTAACTTGTGTACAGAAACGCATGCATTAAATGTAATATTAGCTCGTAATTGTGCTTCGGAAATTAGCTCCATTCTACTCATGTAGAAAAAGCTTCATTGGGTATTTACGCATGCTGTTTTTATACATTTGTGTTTTTCATTTAATGCATGCATTTCTGTGATAAGTTAATTGAAAGTAATTGGGTTTTGAATATTGTTTTGGGGGTATTTTATGCAAATATGCAGCTTATCTGAAGCTCTGTATATACATCTAAAACATTATTTCATTTTCTAAAATCTTAAAATGTTCACTAATTTTGGGGAAAACCCAATAGAGTGATGAATAGATGAGTGAAAAAATATTAGTTACCCAATGAAAAATGTAATAACCCAATTAAAATAGAAACCCTAGAGTAAAAACATGATTGCTCAAAAAGTTATCTGGAGCTCTGCCCTGAGTTGACAAGCATGGGTTGCTGAAGACCTCTTCTCTACTTGGATCTTCATAGGCTTGTGATAGAAAATACAAAGAGCTCTTTTGATTATGATATGGTTTATTAAAAACTTTGCATGACTGACATATTTGGCGACGAGCCCTTTGGTCCACACTCATCACGGTTTGAATGGCCACTGATGATAGATATTTTATATTTATGAATTGCTTGATATTCAGTTTCATGGTTTAATCATTAACCTATACAAATGCACAAAGTTGTCAGGTTATTGTGAGCTCAGTGTGGTATCTTCAGCTTGGCACGTGGTCCTGTGTAGGGAGCATAGACACAAATCGAGCGAAGTAAAGCAACGTTGCTCGTGGAGAGTAATTGAGAGTTACCTCATGTGGTGTCTCTTTAAGCAAGTGACTTTGTTCAAAGGATGCCTGTTCACCCAGCAGTGAATGGGTACCCGGTAGGATTAGATGGTGATGTGACTGTTAACCTTCTAGTGCCTCTGTTCACCCAGCAGTGATGGGTACCCGGTAGGATTAGATGGGGATGTGACTGTTAACCTTCTAGTGCCTCTGTTCACCCAGCAGTGAATGGGTACCCGGTAGGATTAGATGGGGATGTGACTGTTAACCTTCTAGTGCCTCTGTTCACCCAGCAGTGAATGGGTACCCGGTAGGATTAGATGGGGATGTGACTGTTAACCTTCTAGTGCCTCACAGGTAGCTTAGGTTGCATGATCCCCAGGGAGTTGAAAATGAAATCAAGTTCATACTGATGCACTGACCGGGTAATGATAGTTTGTGCATGACAGGTGTGGTGAGGAAATATATAGCGCAATGTAGAAGGCCTATCATTATCCCCCGCCCAACGAAGTTGGCAGGGGATATAGACACGGGCTCCGTCCGTCCGTCACGTTTCGTTTCCGGAGCATAACTCATAAACCGTTCAATATTTTTTCATGAAACTTTACAGGTCTGTCAGGTACATGCTGAACTGGTGCCTTTTGCTATTGAGAAATTTTAGAAATTTTTATTTTTTACGTTTCCATGGCAACAAGATGGACTTAGTTCTGTGAGGGTAGGGTTCGTTTCCGGAGCACAACTCATAAACCGTTCAATATTATTTCATCAAACTTTGCAGGTCTGTCAGGTACATGCTGAACTGGTGCCTTTTGCTATTGAGAAATTTTAGAAATATTTATTTTTTAAGTTTCCATGGCAACAAGATGGACATGGTTCCAAACGCATCTTTTTTTTACAATTTCCATGACAACTTCCACCTTTGTTAAAAAAGGTTAGGGTTTGTTTACATTTAATTATTAAAACTCTTGTTGTTGTTGTTATTGTTGTTGTTGTTATTATTATTATTAACCATGAAGATTCTGGTGTAGAATAGGTCTTCAGCAACCCATGCTTGCCATGATGCATGTCATCGATCAAAATTGCGTGGATCGATGCTCATGATATTAATCACTGGATTGTCTGGTCCAGCTTGTCGTAAAAGGCGACTAACGGGATCGGGTGGTCAGGCTCGCTGACTTGGTTGATGCAGGTCATCGATCCCAATTGCGTGGATCAATGCTGATGATATTAATCACTGGATTGTCTGGTCCATACTCGATTATTTTACAGACCGCTGTCATATAGCTGGAATATTGCTGAGTGTGGCGTTAAACAACAAACTAACCTGTTATTATTATTATTATTATTATTATTATTATCCTTCAAACAGCCATGCTGTTCTGTGCCACTTTACTACAACCATCAAACAAATATGTCTGACATGTGTCTGGTTCAATGCAAGTATATCTGAAATTTAATATTTATTTAACATGCATGCTACTTTGGTGAATTGCGTCGTGTGATTGCATTGGCTTCACTTACTGGATCTTGCTCACAATATTAATTATTATTCACTGGATTGTCTGGTCCAGACTCTATTATTTACAGGCTGTCATCATATAGCTGGAATATTGCCGAGTGCGACATTAGATACCCTGTGACCCCCGATGACCCAGCTGTCTTACGATGTTTCTAACTTGATCATGTTGATTGTCCTTCAGAGTAGGTGAGTCCATGTGATGGCTGACAGCAAGGAGAAGAAAGCCAGTCTGCGAGTAGACGTACAGGACAGCGAGTTGACCTACAGCTGTGAGTGGGGGGAATGTGAGGAACAGTTCAACGACATCCCCGACTTCCTCCGACACATTGGGGGGCACATCTGGAAGCTTGTCTCCACGTTAACTACTGAAGGTAGGTCAGATTGTCTACTAGCCTCATCTTGTCTCCACGGTAACTACTGAAGGTAGGTCAGATTGTCTTCTAGCCTCATCTTGTCTCCACGGTAACTACTGAAGGTAGGTCATATTGTCTACTAGCCTCATCTTGTCTCCACGGTAACTACTGAAGGTAGGTCAGATTGTCTACTAGCCTCATCTTGTCTCCACGGTAACTACTGAAGGTAGGTCAGATTGTCTTCTAGCCTCATCTTGTCTCCACGGTAACTACTGAAGGTAGGTCATATTCTCTACTAGCCTCATCTTGTCTCGGCATCGTTTTCAGTAAATTTGTATAGAATATGGACTAATATTGACCGAGTCTACTGGACCAATAAATGTTACCAGACTCAGGGTATGAATAAACTGGTGGCAACATGCCCTGAACATGCCCTGCACATGCCCTGCACATGCCCTGAACAGTTGAAATTACCAATGCAACATGCACAGTGTTGAAAACAGTGAGATTTCAAATTACCATTGCCACGCGACTGAATGCAGGAATATTTCAAATTACCATTGCTACGTGATTGAATGTAGGAATATTTCAAGTTACCATTGCCACGTGACTGAATGAAGGAATATTTCAAATGCTCACGTTTACGATATTATCCCTATTAAAATATTAAAATGAACAAATATTATTTGAAAATATTTGTGCCATAACTGTGCTGGTGGTTTTCAGCATCCCCCCATTATAAGCTTGATATAACACAAATATTACACATAACAGCATTAGTCAGAGTTCAGGTCAGTTCACACAGGTTTATCTTGACCAGCTCAGCTTCCGTTTTTCGGCTCCATGTCTGCAACTTATGTCCGTACTAATTCACAAAGTGCCATTACAAATTTTCCAAATTCCTGCAACAACTGATGTCAGGCCTCCTGGAGGGGACTTCTATGTCCCGTATTGCCTGCAACAACTGATGTCAGGCCTCCTGGAGGGACTTCTATGTCCCGTATTTCCTGCAACAACTGATGTCAGGCCTCCTGGAGGGACTTCTATGTCCCGTATTGCATGCCAAGGACAGTTTGTGTGGAATCCTGGATAATCCCTGGCTCTTTTCTAGGACTTGACCGACTGTCATCCACACTGTTATGGTGTATTCCGGCCCAGGTTGATAAAATCATGTCAGTATTGTTCACCTCTGACAAAGTCACTGTTTTCCACATTCTGACTTAATGTTGTTTCAGAGAAAGGGTTCTCGTGTGGCTGGCGTGACTGTGGAACACAGATCCTCGGTGACAAGCATGACTTCAACCGCCATGTCTACTTCCACGCCTTCCACGTGAAACTGAAATGTGTGGGGGCCGTGGTCATCAAGAAGACGCGGTACCCCGTGTGTACCATAGATGGGCAGAGTCGCAACTGGATCCCCGAGCTGCCGGAGAGCCTGCAGTGTGGATGGACATCTTGTGGGGTACAGTAGCTCATGGTCCATCACAGTAGCACATGGTCCATCACAGTAGCTCATGGTCCATCACAGTAGCACATGGTCCATCACAGTAGCTCATGGTCCATCACAGTAGCTCATGGTCCATCACAGTAGCACATGGTGCATCACAGTAGCACATGGTCCATCACAGTAGCTCATGGTCCATCACAGTAACACATGGTCCATCACAGTAGCACATGGTCCATCACAGTAGCTCATGGTCCATCACAGTAGCACATGGTCCATCACAGTAGCTCATGGTCCATCACAGTAGCTCGTGGTCCATCACAGTAACACATGGTCCATCACAGTAGCTCATGGTCCATCACAGTAGCACATGGTCCATCACAGTAGCTCATGGTCCATCACAGTAACACATGGTCCATCACAGTAGCACATGGTCCATCACAGTAACACATGGTCCATGACAGTAACACATGGTCCATCACAGTAGCTCATGGTCCATCACAGTAACACATGGTCCATCACAGTAGCACGTGGTCCATCACAGTAACACGTGGTCCATCACAGTAGGTCATGGTGCATCACAGTAGGTCATGGTCCATCACAGTAGCACATGGTCCATCACAGTAGCTCATGGTCCATCACAGTAGGTCATGGTCCATCACAGTAACACATGGTCCATCACAGTAGGTCATGGTCCATCACAGTAGCTCATGGTCCATCACAGTAGGTCATGGTCCATCACTGTAGCTCATCGTCCATCACAGTAGCACATAGTCCATCACAGTAGCTCATGGTCCATCACAGTAGCTCATGGTCCATCACATTAGCACATGGTCCATCACAGTAGCTCATGGTCCATCACAGTAGCTCATGGTCCATCACAGTAGGTCATCGTCCATCCCAGTAGCACATGGTCCATCACTGTAGCACATGGTCCATCACAGTAGCTCATGGTCCATCACAGTAACACATGGTCCATCACAGTAACACATAGTCCATCACAGTAGCTCATGGTCCATCACAGTAACACATGGTCCATCACAGTAACACATGGTCCATCAGAGTAGGTCATGGTCCATCACTGTAGCTCATGGTCCATCACAGTAGCACATGGTCCATCACAGTAGCTCATGGTCCATCACAGTAGCACATGGTCCATCACAGTAGGTCATGGTCCATCACAGTAGGTCATGGTCCATCACTGTAGCTCATGGTCCATCACAGTAGCTCATGGTCCATCACAGTAGCTCATGGTCCATCACAGTAGCACATGGTCCATCACTGTAGCTCATGGTCCATCACAGTAGCACATGGTCAATCACAGTACCACATGGTCCATCACTGTAGCTCATGGTCCATCACTGTAGCTCATGGTCCATCACAGTAGGTCATGGTCCATCACAGAAGCACATGGTCCATCACAGTAGGTCATGGTGCATCACAGTAGCACATGGTCCATCACAGTAGCTCATCGTCCATCACAGTAGCTCATGGTCCATCACAGTACCACATGGTCCATCACTGTAGCTCATGGTCCATCACAGTATATCATGGTCCATCACAGTAGCTCATGGTCCATCACAGTAGCACATGGTCCATCACTGTAGCTCATGGTCCATCACAGTAGCTCATGGTCCATCACAGTAACACATGGTCCATCACAGTAGGTCATGGTCCATCACAGTACCACATGGTCCATCACAGTAGCTCATGGTCCATCACTGTAGCTCATGGTCCATCACAGTAGCTCATGGTCCATCACAGAAGCACATGGTCCATCACAGTAGGTCATGGTGCATCACAGTAGCACATGGTCCATCACAGTAGCACATGGTCCATCACAGTAGCTCATCGTCCATCACAGTAGCTCATGGTCTATCACAGTAGCACATGGTCCATCACAGTAGCTCATGGTCCATCACAGTAGCACATGGTCCATCACAGTAGCTCATGGTCCATCACAGTAGCTCATGGTCCATCACAGTAGCACATGGTCCATCACAGTAGCTCATGGTCCATCACAGTAGCTCATGGTCCATCACAGTAGGTCATGGTCCATCACAGTAGGTCATGGTCCATCACAGTAGGTCATGGTCTATAACAGTAGGTCATGGTCCATCACAGTAGCTCATCGTCCATCACAGTAGCTCATGGTCCATCACAGTAGCACATGGTCCATCACAGTAGCTCATGGTCCATCACAGTAGCTCATGGTCCATCGCAGTAGCTCATGGTCCATCCCAGTAGCTCATGGTCCATCCCAGTAGGACATGGTCCATCACAGTAGCTCATGGTCCATCACAGTAGGTCATGGTCCATCACAGTAGGTCATGGTGCATCACAGTAGGTCATGGTCCATCACAGTAGCACATGGTCCATCACAGTAGCTCATGGTCCATCACAGTAGCTCATGGTCCATCACAGTAGGTCATGGTGCATCACAGTAGCTCATGGTCCATCCCAGTAGCTCATGGTCCATCCCAGTAGCACATGGTCCATCACAGTAGCTCATGGTCCATCACAGTAGGTCATGGTCCATCACAGTAGGTCATGGTGCATCACAGTAGGTCATGGTCCATCACAGTAGCACATGGTCCATCACAGTAGCTCATGGTCCATCACAGTAGCTCATGGTCCATCACAGTAGCTCATGGTCCATGGTTCTTGTTGTTACCCTGCCTGGCGCTCTAAGGGGATAAAGCAAGAATAGGTCAGCGCGGGGTACACTGTGTCTGAATCAGGTTCTCATGTTACACTGCGGAATGGGGACTCAATTATGGTAGCGGTATTAAACCGGCATAAATGCAGACAAGTACAAACAGATACACATGTGCATGGACGTCAGGATGTGAGAGAAATGATCTTCAGAACGACATTAACCCAGTTTCACCTTACTTTGTCATCCCACTGACCACTCAAGGCTGTTGTTTGTTGTTCCAGGCAGTCTGTGACAATCCCGTGATCTTCTATAACCACGTTGCCCATCACTGCGAGGAATTCCCCAACGGCAACAACATCAAGGGAGGCTGTCTGTGCAGATGGACGGGTGAGTGTTTGGGGAGGCTGTCTGTGTAGATGGACAGGTGAGTGGTGGGGGAGGCTGTCTGTGTAGATGGACAGGTGAGTGGATGGGGGAGACTGTCTGTGTAGATGGACAGGTGAGTGTTTGGGGAGGCTGTCTGTGTAGATGGACAGGTGAGTGGATGGGGAGGCTGTCTGTGTAGATGGACAGGTGAGTGGATGGGGAGGCTGTCTGTGTAGATGGACAGGTGAGTGGTGGGGAGGCTGTCTGTGTAGATGGACAGGTGAGTGGGGGGGGAGACTGTCTGTGTAGATGGACAGGTGAGTGGATGGGGAGGCTGTCTGTGTAGATGGACAGGTGAGTGGATGGGGAGGCTGTCTGTGTAGATGGACAGGTGAGTGGATGGGGGAGACTGTCTGTGTAGATGGACAGGTGAGTGGATGGGGGAGACTGTCTGTGTAGATGGACAGGTGAGTGGTGGGGGAGACTGTCTGTGTAGATGGACAGGTGAGTGGATGGGGAGGCTGTCTGTGTAGATGGACAGGTGAGTGGTGGGGGAGGCTGTCTGTGTAGATGGACAGGTGAGTGGATGGGGAGGCTGTCTGTGTAGATGGACAGGTGAGTAGTGGGGGAGACTGTCTGTGCAGATGGACAGGTGAGTGGTGGGGGAGACTGTCTGTGCAGATGGACAGGTGAGTGTTTGGGGAGGCTGTTTGTGCAGATGGACAGGTGAGTGTTTGGGGAGGCTGTCTGTGTAGATGGACAGGTGAGTGGTGGGGAGGCTGTCTGTGTAGATGGACAGGTGAGTGGTAGGGGAGGCTGTCTGTGTAGATGGACAGGTGAGTGTTTGGGGAGGCTGTCTGTGTAGATGGACAGGTGAGTGGTGGGGAGGCTGTCTGTGTAGATGGACAGGTGAGTGGTAGGGGAGGCTGTCTGTGTAGATGGACAGGTGAGTGGTGGGGAGACTGTCTGTGTAGATGGACAGGTGAGTGGTGGGGGAGACTGTCTGTGTAGATGGACAGGTGAGTTGTGGGGGAAACTGTCTGTGTAGATGGACAGGTGAGTGGTGGGGGAGACTGTCTGTGTAGATGGACAGGTGAGTGGTGGGGGAGACTGTCTGTGTAGATGGACAGGTGAGTGGTGGGGGAGACTGTTTGTGCAGATGGACAGGTGAGTGGTGGGGGAGACTGTCTGTGCAGATGGACAGGTGAGTGGTGGGGGAGACTGTCTGTGTAGATGGACAGGTGAGTGGTGGGGGAGGCTGTTTGTGCAGATGGACAGGTGAGTGGTGGGGGAGACTGTCTGTGTAGATGGACAGGTGAGTGGTGGGGGAGACTGTCTGTGTAGATGGACAGGTGAGTGGATGGGGGAGGCTGTCTGTGTAGATGGACAGGTGAGTGGGTGGGGAGGCTGTCTGTGTAGATGGACAGGTGAGTGGGTGGGGAGGCTGTCTGTGTAGATGGACAGGTGAGTGGGTGGGGAGGCTGTCTGTGTAGATGGACAGGTGAGTGGGTGGGGAGGCTGTCTGTGTAGATGGACAGGTGAGTGGTGGGGGAGACTGTCTGTGTAGATGGACAGGTGAGTGGGTGCGGAGGCTGTCTGTGTAGATGGACAGGTGAGTGGATGGGGGAGGCTGTCTGTGTAGATGGACAGGTGAGTGGATGGGGGCGGCTGTCTGTGTAGATGGACAGGTGAGTGGGTGGGGAGGCTGTCTGTGTAGATGGACAGGTGAGTGGTGGGGGAGACTGTCTGTGTAGATGGACAGGTGGGTGGTGGGGGAGACTGTCTGTGTAGATGGACAGGTGAGTGGATGGGGAGGCTGTCTGTGTAGATGGACAGGTGAGTGGATGGGGAGACTGTCTGTGTAGATGGACAGGTGAGTGGTGGGGGAGACTGTCTGTGTAGATGGACAGGTGAGTGGATGGGGGAGGCTGTCTGTGTAGATGGACAGGTGAGTGGGTGGGGAGGCTGTCTGTGTAGATGGACAGGTGAGTGGATGAGGGAGGCTGTCTGTGTAGATGGACAGGTGAGTGGATGGGGGAGGCTGTCTGTGTAGATGGACAGGTGAGTGGGTGGGGAGGCTGTCTGTGTAGATGGACAGGTGAGTGGATGAGGGAGGCTGTCTGTGTAGATGGACAGGTGAGTGGATGGGGGAGGCTGTCTGTGTAGATGGACAGGTGAGTGGGTGGGGAGGCTGTCTGTGTAGATGGACAGGTGAGTGGTGGGGGAGACTGTCTGTGTAGATGGACAGGTGAGTGGATGGGGGAGGCTGTCTGTGTAGATGGACAGGTGAGTGGGTGGGGAGGCTGTCTGTGTAGATGGACAGGTGAGTGGATGGGGGAGGCTGTCTGTGTAGATGGACAGGTGAGTGGTGGGGGAGGCTGTCTGTGTAGATGGACAGGTGGGTGGTGGGGGAGACTGTCTGTGTAGATGGACAGGTCAATGGTGGGGGAGACTGTCTGTGTAGATGGACAGGTGAGTGGATGGGGGAGGCTGTCTGTGTAGATGGACAGGTGAGTGGTGGGGGAGGCTGTCTGTGTAGATGGACAGGTGAGTGGTGGGTGGTGGGGGAGACTGTCTGTGTAGATGGACAGGTGAGTGGTGGGGGAGGCTGTCTGTGTAGATGGACAGGTGAGTGGATGGGGGAGGCTGTCTGTGTAGATGGACAGGTGAGTGGGTGGGGAGGCTGTCTGTGTAGATGGACAGGTGAGTGGTGGGGGAGACTGTCTGTGTAGATGGACAGGTGAGTGGATGGGGGAGGCTGTCTGTGTAGATGGACAGGTGGGTGGTGGGGGAGACTGTCTGTGTAGATGGACAGGTGAGTGGGTGGGGAGGCTGTCTGTGTAGATGGACAGGTGAGTGGTGGGGGAGACTGTCTGTGTAGATGGACAGGTGAGTGGGTGGGGAGGCTGTCTGTGTAGATGGACAGGTGAGTGGTGGGGGAGGCTGTCTGTGTAGATGGATAGGTGAGTGGTGGGGGAGACTGTCTGTGTAGATGGACAGGTGAGTGTTTGGGGAGGCTGTCTGTGGAGATGGACAGGTGAGTAGTGGGGGAGTCTGTGTAGATGTACAGGTGAGTGCTGGGGGAGACTGTCTGTAGATGGACAGGTGAGTGGTGGGGGAGACTGTCTGTGTAGATGGAGAGGTGAGTGGTGGGGGAGGCTGTCTGTGTAGATGGACAGGTGAGTGGTGGGGGAGACTGTCTGTGTAGATGGACAGGTGAGTGGATGGGGGAGACTGTCTGTAGATGGACAGGTGAGTGGTGGGGGAGACTGTCTGTGTAGATGGACAGGTGAGTGGATGGGGGAGACTGTCTGTAGATGGACAGGTGAGTGGTGGGGGAGACTGTCTGTGTAGATGGAGAGGTGAGTGGTGGGGGAGGCTGTCTGTGTAGATGGACAGGTGAGTGGTGGGGGAGACTGTCTGTGTAGATGGACAGGTGAGTGGATGGGGGAGACTGTCTGTAGATGGACAGGTGAGTGGTGGGGGAGACTGTCTGTGTAGATGGACAGGTGAGTGGATGGGGGAGACTGTCTGTAGATGGACAGGTGAGTGGTGGGGGAGACTGTCTGTGTAGATGGAGAGGTGAGTGGTGGGGGAGGCTGTCTGTGTAGATGGACAGGTGAGTGGTGGGGGAGACTGTCTGTGTAGATGGACAGGTGAGTGGTGGGGGAGACTGTCTGTGTAGATGGACAGGTGAGTGGATGGGGAGACTGTCTGTGTAGATGGACAGGTGAGTTGTGGGGGAAACTGTCTGTGTAGATGGACAGGTGAGTGGATGGGGGAGGCTGTCTGTGTAGATGGACAGGTGGGTGGATGGGGAGACTGTCTGTGTAGATGGACAGGTGAGTGGATGGGTGAGACTGTCTGTGTAGATGGACAGGTGAGTGGTGGGGGAGGCTGTCTGTGTAGATGGACAGGTGAGTGGATGGGGAGACTGTCTGTGTAGATGGACAGGTGAGTGGTGGGGGAGACTGTCTGTGTAGATGGACAGGTGAGTGGTGGGGGAGACTGTCTGTGCAGATGGACAGGTGAGTGGATGGGGAGACTGTCTGTGGAGATGGACAGGTGAGTGGTGGGGGAGACTGTCTGTGGAGATGGACAGGTGAGTGGTGGGGGAGACTGTCTGGGTAGATGGACAGGTCAATGGTGTGGGAGGCTATTTTGGTTTTGGGAATTGAAGAAAAGGGTGTGGTGGTTCTTGGAAATGTTGGGCAATTCAGGAGAAGTGGATGGTGGGTAAGGGAAAGTTTGAGGCATTCAAACATAGATTTGATACCAGTAGATTTTATTTGAAACTGAAACCTCTAATAATCTATGTTCGAAGCCTCTAATTTGAACACAAGCTAGCTTTGTCTTCATTACACAATGACACAATGACACAATAAACACTTACACCTTGGTTTTGAATAATAAGTACTGTGGAATTGGTTGAACCGCCAAACATTAAGAATGACATCCTATTCAATAAATCCAGTTTTTACGAATCAAAATGCATAATTTTGAAATGACATTGTAAAATCAGGACTCAAATTTGCAGTAACAAACATGCACCTGTGCAACTTATTTCTAAAAAATGAAACCTAATATTTATGTGGACATTCACCAAATATATCTTTGAACACACCCAATACCTCCAAATGTATTTACTATACTACATCACTAGTTTCTGGAACCATGTGGGTCCGGGTAGAGAATAGGTCTTCAGCAACCCATGCTTGCTGTAAGAGGCGTTAATGCGACTATAACTGGATTGGGTGGTCAGGCTCGCTGACTTGGTTCATGCATATCATCGTATCCCAATTGTGTAAATGGATGCTCATTATGTCAGTCACTGGATTGTCTGGCCCAGACTTGATTATTTTAAGACTGCCAACTTGAAGCTGGAATATTGCTGAGTGTGGCATCAAACAAACAAACGAACAAACACTAGTCTCTGTGTTGCGTGTAGTATTCAAACTTTCTTGGACTTGACATCATCAAAGTGTGGGTACTGCCAGATTACGTGCCATCAAGTTATATGACACAAGGGTCAGGTAGCCTAGTGGTTAAAGGGTTCGCTCGTCACGCTGAAGACCCGGGTTCGATTCCCGACATGGGTACAATATATGAAGCCCATTTCTGCTTACCCTGCCGTGATGTTGCTGGAATATTGCTAAAAACGGCGTAAAACCATACACACTCACTCACTCACTCACTCACAGAACACACACCCACCCACACACAGACCCGCTCGCCCACCCACACTCACTCACTCACGCACTCACTCACTCTCACCCACTCACTCACAGAACACACACCCACCCACACACAGACCCGCTCGCCCACCCACACTCACTCACTCACTCACTCACCCACCCAACCACCCACCCACCCACTCACTCACTCACTCACCCACCCACCCACCCACTCACTCACTCACTCACTCACTCACTCACTCACTCACTCACTCAGGCACTCAGGCACAGGCAGGCAGCCAGCGTATGTTTCAACTTTAATAACTTAATGGGACCAGGGTGTCAGCATGCACCGGGTGGAAGTTCAATAAAGTTTCTTAAGTCATACACTGCTCAGCACTAAGTGATCCATCCCTTGTCTTGCAGACTGCGATGCCCGCTTTAAGAGCAAGCACAAGCTCCGAGAACATCTGCGGAGTCACACCCAGGAGAAGGTGGTCGCCTGTCCCACGTGTGGCGGCCTCTTCGCCAGTCGGACCAAACTTTTCGACCATCTTACACGGCAGAAGGAAACAGTGGGTAAGTCAGTCAGTTCCGTGTGGAGATCTTAGATTGTTCCGTGTGGAGATCTTAGATTGTTCCGTGCGGAGATCTTAGATTGTTCCGTGTGGAGATCTTAGATTGTTCCGTGTGGAGATCTTAGATTGTTCCGTGCGGAGATCTTAGATTGTTCCGTGCGGAGATCTTAGATTGTTCCGTGTGGAGATCTTAGATTGTTCCGTGCGGAGATCTTAGATTGTTCCGTTCGGAGATCTTAGATTGTTCCGTGTGGAGATCTTAGATTGTTCCGTGCGGAGATCTTAGATTGTTCCGTGTGGAGATCTTAGATTGTTCCGTGCGGAGATCTTAGATTGTTCCGTGCGGAGATCTTAGATTGTTCCGTGTGGAGATCTTAGATTGTTCCGTGTGGAGATCTTAGATTGTTCCGTGTGGAGATCTTAGATTGTTCCGTGCGGAGATCTTAGATTGTTCCGTGTGGAGATCTAAGATTGTTCCGTGTGGAGATCTAAGATTGTTCCGTGTGGAGATCTTAGATTGTTCCGTGCGGAGATCTTAGATTGTTCCGTGCGGAGATCTTAGATTGTTCCGTGTGGAGATCTTAGATTGTTCCGTGCGGAGATCTTAGATTGTTCCGTGTGGGGATCTTAGATTGTTCCGTGTGGAGATCTTAGATTGTTCCGTGTGGAGATCTTAGATTGTTCCGTGCGGAGATCTTAGATTGTTCCGTGCGGAGATCTTAGATTGTTCTGTGTGGAGATCTTAGATTGTTCCGTGCGGAGATCTTAGATTGTTCCGTGCGGAGATCTTAGATTGTTCCGTGCGGAGATCTTAGATTGTTCCGTGTGGAGATCTTAGATTGTTCCGTGCGGAGTTCCGTGTGGAGATCTTAGATTGTTCCGTGTGGAGATCTTAGATTGTTCTGTGTGGAGATCTTAGATTGTTCCGTGCGGAGATCTTAGATTGTTCCGTGCGGAGTTCCGTGTGGAGATCTTAGATTGTTCCGTGTGGAGATCTTAGATTGTTCTGTGTGGAGATCTTAGATTGTTCCGTGTGGAGATCTTAGATTGTTCCGTGCGGAGTTCCGTGTGGAGATCTTAGATTGTTCCGTGTGGAGATCTTAGATTGTTCCGTGCGGAGTTCCGTGTGGAGATCTTAGATTGTTCCGTGCGGAGATCTTAGATTGTTCCGTTCGGAGATCTTAGATTGTTCTGTGTGGAGATCTTAGATTGTTCCGTGCGGAGATCTTAGATTGTTCCGTGCGGAGATCTTAGATTGTTCCGTGCGGAGATCTTAGATTGTTCCGTGTGGAGATCTTAGATTGTTCCGTGCGGAGTTCCGTGTGGAGATCTTAGATTGTTCCATGTGGAGATCTTAGATTGTTCCGTGTGGAGATCTTAGATTGTTCTGTGTGGAGATCTTAGATTGTTCCGTGTGGAGATCTTAGATTGTTCTGTGTGGAGATCTTAGATTGTTCTGTGTGGAGATCTTAGATTGTTCCGTGCGGAGATCTTAGATTGTTCCGTGCGGAGATCTTAGATTGTTCCGTGTGGAGATCTTAGATTGTTCCGTGCGGAGATCTTAGATTGTTCCGTGCGGAGTTCCGTGTGGAGATCTTAGATTGTTCCGTGCGGAGATCTTAGATTGTTCCGTGCGGAGATCTTAGATTGTTCCGTGCGGAGATCTTAGATTGTTACTTATTCTGGCACAGCATGATGCAATTTCCTTCTTCACTTCGATCATAACACAATCCCAGAGGTTGGAAGTCTGGGTTCTATCCCCGTCCGCTTCATACCAAAAAATGTCAAATGATGGTACTTGTTGTTACCCTGCCTGTCGCTTGGCATTAAGGGGCTAAAACAAGGACTGGTCGGCTCGGAGTCAGTATACTGTGTCAGAGTGGGGTATGCATGTTAACCTGCAGCGTGGTATCTCAGTGAGCTAGCAGTATTAAACATTAGTCCGGACTACAGTCCGTTTGACTCAAAATGAGAACGATGAATTGCAAAATAACTCGAAATCCAGAAAAGTGTATGAAACATCAATACGGTACTTGACCATGAATACCCTGTACCCAACAAAATCTGAATTTTGTTTATTTTAAGACCCATGACAGATGAAGTTCTTTAAGAAACTATCATGTAATTTTGTATAGAAATGTGTACATGACACGTAGGGGGGACAATCGTGGAAGGAACAGCGCAAGCATGGTCTGCACGTGCTACACAGTGACCGTGTTCATTCAATGACAAGATGCGCTACTCAGCAGATGTTAAACAGTTGATGTTGAATGTGTATGATTTCTTTAGAAGTGAAGCAGAAAGAGCAAAGCCTTTTTATGCAATTAATAAATTCTTGAAACGAGCTTCAAAAGCTCTTGGTATGTCCCCTCAGAAACTTAAAAATGTTGTTAGTCGACGAGATACAAATAGTCAGGCCAAGGAGGTAGGGAACATGTCAAAACCATGCAAGGTTGATAAATTAGACAGTTTTCAGAGGGGTCAAGTCAGACGTGCAATTGTTAAACTGCACTCAGAAAATAAGTACCTGTCCCTAAGAATTTTGAAGAAACACCTTGAAACTGACCATGATTTACGTGTTACAAAGTACAAACTATGGCAGCTGTTGCATACATTTGGTTACAAATACAAAAAGATAACTGGAGAACATAGGCTGTGTTGTGTGAACGGTCTGACATTGTCTGTCTCCGAAATCATTACCTTCGTACCATCAAGCAGAAACGTGAAGAAGGATATGAGCCCGTCTTCTTAGATGAGACATGGGTAAATGCGTCACACACAGCCAGCAGTCAGTGGGTACCCAGTGGTGACTGTAAGGAGTCTGGTAGAAAGTTACCAATGGGAAAGGGTGAAAGACTCATAGTTCTCCATGCTGGTTCTGCTAGTCAGGGTTTTCTCCCAGACTGTGACCTCGTCTTTAGAGCCAAGGCCAAAGACAACAGGGACTACCACACAGAAGTGAACAGCAATGTATTTCTGGAGTGGGTGAAATATAAATAAGCAGGGTTAGAAATTAACTGAAAAAGTGATCCAGTCCACAGGGCTAACTGCAGCTGAACTTTACTAGCCCTGAAGAAGATCAGTTAGCCCAGACTACACAACAGATAACAAAGTCTGAAAATCATGTCTTCATAACTATTAAGTTTAATAAAGTTCAACTTCTTGTGAGTTCATGAGGTTTTTGAGACAGGTACTGAACTCGTACAAACAAAATAAGATGAACAGTGAACATCTTTGTTCTCATCACAACCACATTCAACTTCTAAAATTAATGCCACTGAAACATCAAATAACAACAACACTGATTCACTGAGTATTTCTCGCAAATTCTTTCAATTCATTAGTTTAACAACACTCTTCACAGTCAGATGGAGAGTTATCAGACTGAGCAACATCCTTTGCAATGACTAGAGCAGCAGACAACAGATTCTTAAAAGGGACATTTGATATTAATGAATATTATAACACAAAATTATCCATGTTAATATCTAACTTCGTATATGAAAAGGCAGTACACGGGTCTGCCATTGGTAAGGGGTCATTGACAGACATTTGTGAATGTTTTTACCGAGATCTACCAATGATTTGAAGTTATGGATTCAGTTAAGTTCAATGGCTGTTCTGATGCTACTGTACTGAGTATTGAGTTCATGTTGTAACTGTGACAATGATCAATGAGTCATAAAATATAATTGGCATATCGAACGTTTTTTTAGTAAGAGTATGTTCAGGATCCAGCATTTCCTTGATAAATCTAGTCAACATGTTTCAGGTGCTATAAATGTTTAAACATGTCAGTTACACCAATAACGGTCCTGGCAAAATGTGTTTTGCTATTCTTAATATAACTCACAAGAGATTGAATTATTATCAGCTTGATAAGTCTGTTGTAGAATAACTAAATATTCAGAGTCCGCTAAATAAAAACAATGCTTACATCATTGTACATTCAAGTGTTAGCATTCATTCTTTATCATATACAGTATCGCGGTATTGATAAATCTCGTAATCCACACAACCTGTCGACTGTTTACTTATGCAAATCTAAGCACGATATATTTCATCGCATGATCGAATACAGGACTCGTTGCGGTATGTCACGGCTACTTGTACACACGTTAACTTTTTTTATGACAGTTCCTGGGATGTTTTTGAAGTGGAATTACCCCTTCCTCCATTCAAAATTGATTAGAAAAAGAACCCATTTGTTCAAACGAAGTCCCTTGACCAAACCTCGGTTGTATGCAAAATTCAAAACAGGAAGTGATATACCATATAATCCTCACAGCCTTACTAACTGAGGTAAGATTCACCAATGACAGGTACTTTGTTTATCAAACTCGGTAAAGAAAATCAGCATCAATCAATCCAATGAACAACAAACATTTTGTGATTCACATATTTAATAAGTTTGTAAGCGTGCCCCACTACGATCCATTATAAATTAACCACTGCGATAACATAGCGTATCATCCTACATGGTCGCTCGATTTCGCGGGTCACTATTACCACGTTCTGAAGTATACCCTTGATGTGCCTGGCTATTTTTAGTTTGACACAAGGTCAGGATATTTTCGACCAATCAGCAAGCTAAATTAATTACGACTATATCCGACTTGCTTAATATGTGGCACCTGATTGGCTGAAGCAAAGCTACGGACCATACCGAACATTAATACATGCAAAACCGACAATAGATATAGGTCAAGTTTGGGTATTTGTCATAAAAAGGGAGAGAATAATGAAACTGGTTTGGTTCAGCAAACGGAAGTGATAATCAACATGCTTCGCTGTCTTGTTTGGCAACAAATACCTTTACGCAAAGACGTACGTCTTTGATTTACGATAACAGTGTCAATTCGATATGAAATTAATATAGCCCCAGTCACTGCGTCCACGAGACCCACACATGTTACGCAGGTGCGTTCAAACTAATTTTTGTGCGTCCAAGATGCAAAAACGCGCTCTTCAGCCAACACTGCTTTAAGGTTAGTTAGCCACCCGGGCTAGCGTTCTGCGGATGTTCTTAGCCCTGTAGGAAATACTCTAGCCACGGGCTAACGGGCGAGCGTTAATTTCGAACCCTGAATTAGTCCCTGCTTTGCCTACCAAGTCTCTCATTGTCATGGACAATGCACCGTATCATAGTGTGCAGGATCTGGAAAGCAAGACTCCAACCTCTAATAACCGTAAAGGAGACATGGTTACTTGGCTGCAACGGAGGAACATTACCTTTCCTTCTCGAGCGACGAAACCACAGCTCTATGAAATCATAAAAATTATGAATCCTGACCCCGTGTATAAAGTTGACAGTTACATCAAGGGTCAGGGTCACGCTGTCTTACGACTGCCACATTATCACTGCGACCTGAATCCAATCGAGTTGGTATGGGGCATCGTCAAGGGTGACGTTGGACGATCGAACACAACGTTCAAATTACGAGACATTGAACAACTCGTAAAGGAATCCCAGCAACAGTCCAACCTATAATAGTGGCAGTCGGTTCAGGCACCAGCAGTTCCGACGACGAGATCTATGGCATGATCGAGTCATGTTGCGAAATTATCATGAGACGGCCCCTCTAACGCTCTGTCATTTCCCCTACCACAGAACGTGCAGTGCATGCGTGCTTGCGCTGTGCCTTCCACGGTTTGTCCCCCCTACGTGTCATGTACACATTTCTATACAAAATTACATGATAGTTTCTGAAAGAACTTCATCTGTCATGGGTCTTAAAATAAACAAAATTCAGATTTTGTTGGGTACAGGGTATTCATGGTCAAGTACCGTATTGATGTTTCATACACTTTTCTGGATTTCGAGTTATTTTGCAATTCATCGTTCTCATTTGGAGTCAAACGGACTGTAGTACAAGCCACACACACAAGTGGAATAATCTTGAACGCTGCAATGTTTAAACCCCATGTCCCCCGCTGGGATATTGCTAAAGGGGGATAAAAACCATACTCACTCACTCACTCACTCACTCACTCACTCACTCACTCACTCACGTGCGTTCCAGATAAAAGACAAAACAGGTTTTTCTTTATTCATTTATTCTTTCTTTCCTGATGGACATGAATTCCTTTGAGCCTGTCACAGCTGCTGCTACCCCCATCCTTCCTTCCACAGATAGCACCGAGTACACTGAGACCAACTGAACACAATGGTCGTTATTGAGCAGCCATCTTGAATTTGTAAATATAATATTATTGTATCATTATCATAGATTTTTAAACCAAAGACTTTGTCAAACTTGGATGAAGAATTTCAGGAAAAATAAATGTGAAACTACCGGCATTATTAATTTTTAATAAGATTTGAAATTTTCTTTTTATCATTCTTAATTTCTCGTTAACAGCTGATTAATTGATCCAAGTAGGCACATACTGACTCTGCGTATCTCTGATGGAAGGATGTCATATGCTGGTACACAAGTAAAAGATTCACTGTTGTGTTCAATAAAACTTATTCCTATCAACAAAATCTGTCACAGTGAAATATTTGCACATGTGTACCAATGCGTTACCAAACAATCTGTGGTTTTCTTTGCGCTACATACAAAATGTATCACACACTTGTCCTGTGACAGATGTTCCTTTTTTTCTTTGCATGAGTATATTGGCAGCTAAGTGGAAGTTGGGAATCATATCACATTCTGTCGTATGTCAATGTTGAGTTGACATTCCAGCTATAACAGACAACGATCATATTTTGGTTCTCAGAACATTGTTTACCCGTAATGAGACCGGCACACTATGTACAGCATGGTCAGGCCTACGGATCCGACTCAAATATCGAAAAGTCAGAAAAGAAATAAAATCAGGTTGACAAGGTTTTTTACACTGCTGACAGTAACGATCACTTGGAAAATAATAATAAAGGTTTTTTATTTACTAAACATGCTAAAATGGATGTTTTTTAGTTTTTGACTACCGACCAAATGTTTCACTATCGGAATCCGTTATCAAAAAATTATGTAAAATTTGGGCCTTGCATGTATTTGATACAATGAGCACTGGTTTATGGTATATGTACAGTCGGTGATGATGATGATGGTGATGATGATGATGATGATGATGATGATGATGAACATATTTTACAAAGTTTTAGAAATATCAATGGCAATTATCATTATTATGTCACAATATTTCAGTCGAAAACAACCATTTGTAAACTTCAGGCTTTTTCAGTATTGATTGTGCCCTTGTTTTAATTCAACTGACATTTTTCACAGAGAAAGGTCAGCGACTTGACCGCGACATGAGTCCTCGAAAAAGTATATCTTGCTTTTCTGAGAACTATTTAGTGTAATGAATGTCTGATGACAAATATTCTCAAGCATAGCAGAAAAGTTAATGCACCAATCATTGTATAGATCTACAGTCTCCATGTTGCCTGCTTGGGTCGAAAGCAAATAAAGGGAAGTAACTCCTGAGGCCTAATGTTGCCAAGACAGAAGTGTACACGGAAACACTGTCCAGTCCAGGTTAATTTAAGTTCTAGTTTTACAGATTTTATTGGTCAGTATGTCAAGAGTGACATGGAAAAATTCAAAATATGGCATCCGGAATAGTTTGAGGTAATATTCCTTAATCAGATTAAAAAATTGTTTAAGCAAAAATTAGAACAAGAATATTTGTCTAACAATATTTTGGGGGGGTTTTGAATTTAGAGAAGGCTCATTCACGAAACAAAATAAATTGACATGCCAAATAAAATATGTTTTGATTAGATGAAAAAGTTGAATTTCTCAATAATAATGCAAAGAGTTTTTTTAATTTCCCACAGTTTAAATAATTTCACCTGCATCAATTTCTTTATAGGTAATATTATTCCTGGATGATGTTTCTGCTAGGTCAACAACCCATGGTTATTACAACTGTGGAAGTGTCGGAGCTCCTGTCAAATGGTTATTCCTGTTGTTATTAAACTGAGCCCCAAGACAACATGAATGAAATGTACATTATTTATATCATGCCTGTATCACTGGGTCAATATATGTCAGCATATTGCAAGTTGAGTATATTGATAAATGATTGAGCTTGACTGGAATCCCCACTATTGATGGTAGATCCATTTCTACAAAGTTTATGTACATCTCTGGGATTACTTCAGAATATCAAAGCTGCCATTCTTGCAGTATACATGTGTACATCTACCAAACAACATGTCGCATCTACCAATATGTGCTTAATATTAACTTATTCACAACCATGGCGTGTATGTCAAATTGTTTTAAAAACCAGCTTCAAAACAGATTCGCTCATCACTGTTAATGCTAAATTACCATTACGACTGTCATCTACAGTGTTCGAAATCAAGAACAAAGGTCAAGGCTCCTTTTTAATATTAGAGGCTCCATTGTTCGTAATTCACAGTTAACTGAATTATTAGATTTAAATACTATAGCAGGAACCCTCAGAACCAGGACTTCCTTAATTTCGAACACAGGTCTACATTTGGCACATCATGTCTGCCTCAGTGCAGACTTCAGAGTGATCTCCCCTTCTGGTTTTCAATGGAAGGCGTATTGTGCGCTAAGAAGCACATCTTTGGAGAGGCTTGCTTGGACCCTTTGACAGCACTGAAAGGGGTCTTCACTTCTTTAAAGCTTTCGGTGAAAATTCGTACCAGTTTCCGATGACCTTCATGATGGGGTCGCTGATGCAGACAGGCAGATGGAGATACAGGAAGGGCAGAGATCGAGACATGAGGCCTTTGTAGTAAAATGTTTTGGGTTTGGTTGAGAGGAGGGCGTCCACGATGGACTGGATGATGGGCGACAGGTCGCTGCTGAGAATGTTGTCTGGAAAACAGGAGTTAATAATGATAATAATAATAACTACAGATTTATAAAGCGCTGGTATCCAGTTCGAAGAACTGCTCAAGAGCGCTTCATTTGAGTCTACACAAAAAAAAAGAGACATTACACAGCTAGGAAAACACAAAGCCTCAATACTCCAAGAAAGATTTGGTGAAAAGATAGGTTTTGAGTCTTGATCGGAACAAAGTAGGACTGTCAATGTTCCTGATATCCAATGTCAGCCTATTCCATAGCCCAGGGGCAACTTTGGCGAAACTCCGACCTACAAAAGTCGCCGTTCTAACACTAGGCACAGCGAGTAGGGACTGGCAGCTTGATCTGAGAGATCTCCCAGGCACGTACTCTTCAAGAAGCTCGCTGATATAATTTGTTTTTTGATTGTGTCTCGCATTGAACACAATCAGCATCACTTTATACTGGATTATCTCATTGATTTTGAGCCAGTGGAGGCTCCGTAGAATCGTTACTGTTATTGTTTGGGGAAACTAATCGAGAACACAATGTGTGGCTCGACAGCGACGTCTTACCACTGTTATTATTGTCATGCTCACAGTCTACGACTTTGTAAAATTCTGTTGGTTCTAGTATTAAAATCGACTAAAATGCTGCTGCTAAGAGCCAAGTTCAGGTAAGTGGACTGAAAGGTGTTTGGCCAAACTGTTTCATATTTATTATTCATTATGCATTTGCTTCTTGAACGTTTTCACAATTTCCTCAGAAAATGTGGCACAAGGTGCCCTGTCATGCAGAGTTATGTCCCTTTGCTACAATGTCATCTTGGATTTGTCCGCGTTTTTGCCCTCCGTATCTCAGCAGTAGAAACTAACAGTTTCAGTCCACTAGTCCTTATAATGATAACATATAGGAAAACCTTTAAAAATGGCTAATTTCTACTGGTCCTTAGGATACCTTTACTATTGGGCAGTTTGGCAAGGACTATAGGACTAGTGCCAATTTCTAACCCTGTATCTATGAAACGGAGTTAGTCCCAGAGTTTTATGTCCTGTTTCACACTGGGTTTTCTTCCCTTGTTGAGACAACAAAAATCGATGTCATTGAAATTCTGTTCACTTGTTATTTTTCTATCCATTAAAGGAGATGTGTTCTCACCTGCGTTTCTGAACTTGATGTGGAAGCAGTCTTTGCCGTAGTCGTTCCTGACGGCGTCACTGGCAGCGTTCCACCAGCGTTCAGCAGTCTTGTCTTTGTCGTAACCAAGGATACCTGTGAACCATGGGAGGGGGGCTTTAGAATAATGGAAAGTACTTTATACTTTTTTAATAAGGGGCGGTCGGGTAGCCTAGTGGTTAAAGCGTTCACTCGTCACGCCGAAGACCCTGGTTCGATTCCTGACATGGGTACAATGTGTGAAGCCCATTTCTTGTGTCCCCCGCCGTGATATTGCTGGAATATTGCTAAAAGCGTCGTAAAACCATACTCACTCACTTTTTAATAGTTTGTAGAATATCCGCTGCAGTTATTTTCCTTGCAATGTTGACTTTATGTTGTGAGGAAAGTTAGCTTTGGCCTAAATAACTCATTCAATAGTTAAAAATTGATTGTTACTCTATGCTGAGTGCTCATGCTGTCAACCACTGGTTTGCGAGGCCCTGTCTGTTATTTAGAGAGTGTTGTGATGTAGCGGACTGTAGAGTTAAACAACAACTGCCTCGAAGCATACAGGAGTAGGTCGGTCATGCGAGATTTGAGACTGTACAGTGTGTGTCTTGTAACCATGGTAACAAGGGTATCTCAGTACCTGTCTTGTACCCGCTGGGGATGATCATGGACACATTGATGCCCCAGGCTTGCAGCTCATAGCGCCACACCTCCGTCATGCTGGCCAGCGCCGCCTTGGAGGCGCAGTAGACACCCATCAGGGGGATTGGCGCCAAACCTGAAGACAAAACCACAATAATATAGTAAGGAGAAGTGCTGCATCACATAGATAGTATCTTACTACAAGAAATACTTATTTTCTTTCCTCAGGGAGATTCCAAATATGTCCCAAGTTATGATTATAGTAAGTGTATAGCTGTCGTCGGCTTATGGTTGTCGAAGTACTGCGAATGCTTTGTGTATCGGCCTTAACCTTCTGCCATGTTTGACAGAAAGTGAGAGAGTGAGTGAGTTTGGTTTTACGCTGCTTTTAGCAATATTCCAGCAATATCACGGCGGGGGACACCAGAAATGGGCTTCACACATTGTACCCATGTCGGGAATCGAACCCGGGTCTTCGGCGTGACGAGCGAACGCTTTAACCACTAGGCTACCCGACCGCCCCTTGACAGAAAGTGATGAGAGAGATGTATTTTTGGATTGTATCACATATTATAATATTCTTCCAATGGTACTCACTCAACCGTTTTTGAAGTTCTCCATGACTTAATTCAATGGATCTGGGTTCAAATCCCAGATTCACCCTGATTGTTTCTGGGTTTGTCTGCACCAACCCGTACTCACGGGTTTCATTAAAGATGTACACCCCCTGCATCACTTGGGTTTCCTCGCCCATGAAGCTGACAAGCCGTGATATAACTGGAAAAGTGTCCGAACGGCATCTGCCTTGATTGACCCACTCATGCTATGGAGGTGTCTACATACCTGCGTTGCTGGCGATGTTGACGAGACGTCCGCGGCTGCGGCGGAGGAGGGGGAGGAAGGCCTTGCAGACGTTGACAGGGCCGAAGTAGTTGACTGCCATGATCTTCTGCATGTCCTCCATCATCATCATCTCTACGTTGCCGATGTAGCAGATGCCAGCGTTGTTGACGATGCCCCATAGTTCTGGTAGACAAATAGGAGGAGTTAGTGTTAATTTTCCTTCCTTGCAATTTGGGATATTTTCTTTGCTTTCCATTGATATGTAAAATTACCAACTATTTTTGGACTCAGAATTATAATCTGATCATCTGTTAGCCATGTGTTCATTCTATAGGTGTACGCTATAACGTTGACACTTTTGAAAAGTTCGTGAACTGAAAAACTTTTCACTCTGCCCGGCAAGACTTTGATCATGACCGTTGACACGACATATTTGTCAACCCAGTGGGCAATCAGTAGGAACAACTACTAGCCCTAATACACCTGAACTAGCCTCTACTATCTTGTCTAACCGAACCCTGTGATGTCAGCTTTACTAGGGACTAGAATCATCACAGAATTTCTTGTCATGAAGACGACGATGTGCAATTTACTTTCTCTCAACAAGCCTTCTACGTTCTACTCCGTTGTGAATGGTAGGGCAGCCTTTCTGTTCTGTAGAGAGATGGGAGAAAGTGTCCTGCTACCTACCATTGTCGCCCAGGTTCTCGTCCACAAAGATGGCCGCCTTCTCAACCTGCACCATGTCTCGCACATCGAGCTGCAAGGTCTTGAGACGGTCGGAGCACGTCTCCTTCAGAAGGGTCTCCCCGGGGCCGTCCTTGAACAGGCAGCCTGCAAACACGTGCAGACCCATGCTGTCCAGCTTCTTGGCCAGCTCGTGTCCAATGCCCTGGTCACAGCCTGCAATAAGTCGAGTGAGTGAGTGAGTGAGTGAGTGAGAGGCCGTCCCTGAGTGACAGACACAACAGGGTTACCACAGATCTGTGGAAAGTTCAATGCTCTGTGTGGCAACTAAAAAGGAATAAAACATTATTTTGTTCAAAGTTGGGATGTTTTTGGAAGTACAGTCTGCAACTGGAGCCTGAAGCCAAATTCAGATTGTTCACTAAGCCCAGCTTACAATAGTCCATGTGTTAAAACTAAAAGCGACTGAAAATTACACTTGAGGACAAGGCTATTTGACTCTGTGTTGTTACATTGCAAGGTGTTCAAGCCTGGCAGTCCAGTAATGTCAAGCAGTCACCTGATGGAGGAGCAACAAGTCCCGAAACGTCGCTTCAAAGTTGCTCTCCATAAAAAGTGTCACATATTCATGTTCCCCCAACTTCTAAATGCCCATCAAAGACTTCAGGAGTGTCAACAATTAAGGGAATGTTTATATATATCCTTTGAGGGGCGGTCAGGTAGCCTACCGGTTAAAGCCTTCGTTCATCCTGCCGAAGACCCGGGTTCGATTCCCGACATGGGTACAATGTGTGAAGCCCATTTCTGGTGTCCCCGGCCGTGATATTGCTGGAATATTGCTAAAAGCGGCGTAAAACCAAACTCACTCACTCACTCATTGGACAGACAGGGAAATACAAATCATCCTTGCAAAACTTAAATTAAAATAACCTGATTTGGCAAATCTTGTTTATTTAACCGACATTTGCTGTAGTTAAAATAACCTGAATTGGTAAATTTTGTTTATTTAACCGACATTTGCTGTAGTTAAAATAACCTGAATTGGTAAACCTTGTTGATTTAACCGACATTTGCTGTAGTTAAAATAACCTGAATTGGTAAATCTTGTTGATTTAACCGACATTTGCTGTGGAATATAGGCCTGAGAACATGTAGATAATTCCCCAGAAATACTTTAATCCAGATCCAATTAGCTGGAATGACCTCACTCTTTGCTTGTGAACTGTGTTTTCTTTCGTATACACTTGCGATGCAATCCCTTGAAATTCCAGTTGACTGAGTGTGAGTACACTTCAATATATCATGCCAGAAATGGATAGTTATTTACTGCCGTTTCAAGGCTTGTTTATCCGTCATCAGGTTTTAGGAGATTACAAGTCCTTGACATGTTTATTGTCCGCTGTGAGCGGGATTTATGCCGGCTTAACACCGAGGGGACACTTGTACAGCAAGAACTTCCATAACCTAGGACCTGGCTGCTTCTGTATCGACCAACCGTAAAACAACATTCACTTGGTAAGGCTAAAAAAATGATAGTCTTGGTTCTGAGGCACCGTCTGCATCAGCATAAAGTTTGCAGCACGTTTCGTTTTTATTTCCATTTTTAAAAAGCAATAAAACTCCTTAAATATTCCAAGTCCTTTGGGAGTATTTCCAGTATTTTACTCATCAAGGAACACATTAATTTAGAGAGACCCTTTCCCAGGTTGATTGTACACAATTGTTTGTTCGGTCACACAACTGTTTATTCGGTCACACAACTGTTTACTCGGTCACACAACTGTTTATTCAGTCACACAACTGTTTATTTGGTTACATACTAGTTTGAACAAAAAAGAAAAAGAAATACTACCCGCCCACCCGCCCACCCACCTGCCTGCCTGCCTGCCTGCCTGCCTGCCTGCCTGCCTACCTGCCTGCCTGCCTGCCTACCCACCCACCCGCCTGCCTGCCTGCCTGCCTGCCTGCCTACCCACCCACCCACCTGCCTGCCTGCCTGCCTGCCTGCCTGCCTGCCTACCTGCCTACCCACCCACCCGCCTGCCTGCCTGCCTGCCTGCCTGCCTGCCTGCCTGCCTACCTGCCTGCCTGCCTGCCTACCCACCCACCCGCCTGCCTGCCTGCCTGCCTGCCTGCCTACCCACCCACCCGCCTGCCTGCCTGCTTACCCACCCACCCACCTGCCTGCCTGCCTGCCTGCCTACCCGCCCACCCACCTGCCTGCCTGCCTGCCTGCCTGCCTGCCTGCCTGCCTACCCACCCACCCACCTGCCTGCCTGCCTGCCTGCCTACCCGCCCACCCACCTGCCTGCCTGCTTACCCACCCACCCACCTGCCTGCCTGCCTGCCTGCCTGCCTGCCTGCCTGCCTGCCTGCCTGCCTGCCTACCCACCCACCCGCCTGCCTGCCTGCCTGCCTGCCTGCCTGCCTGCCTGCCTGCCTACCCACCCACCCGCCTGCCTGCCTGCTTACCCACCCACCCACCTGCCTGCCCGCCCGCCTGCCTGCCTACCCGCCCACCCACCTGCCTGCCTGCCTGCCTGCCTGCCTGCCTGCCTGCCTGCCTGCCTGCCTGCCTACCCACCCACCCGCCTGCCTGCCTGCTTACCCACCCACCCACCTGCCTGCCTGCCTGCCTGCCTGCCTGCCTGCCTGCCTGCCTACCCACCCACCCGCCTGCCTGCCTGCTTACCCACCCACCCACCTGCCTGCCTGCCTGCCTGCCTGCCTGCCTGCCTGCCTGCCTGCCTGCCTGCCTACCTACCCACCCACCCGCCTGCCTGCCTGCCTGCTTACCCACCCGTCTGTGTCACTGATCACAATGACAACAATGAAGACAATGGTGACAATACTGATGACAATGTGACAACAATTATGACACTGATGACAAGCGTGACACTGGTGACAACAAGGTTGATGTATCACAACAAACTCTGTACTTGACCCCCAATGTAGTTCGGGTTCACCTGGCTTCGCTTGAACTTCAAGTCAAGTGATATCTTTATGCTTTTCCTTACATGCACTCGGAGAAGAGGATTTCGACATACACCGAGCACCCTCCAACAGGATCTAAAGAGCCTGTTTTACATACAACTGTACACAGACGAACATTACCATTAACATAATCTGTGTACGAATGCTGAAAAGGTATTGTGATTCCACGCTGTGCGTCATCCAGCATAAGCGGTTTGTACCTTGTGGTCGACAGGCAGGCAGTAAGTCATGAGTTTGTCGTGAAATTCATGAATGGCAATTTCTGTGTCATCTGTATGCTTTTGAACATTGCAAAGCAAACAAGTTTTTATCCCCGTGGACTGAAGAGGGCTGGTTTGTGTATGGTGATGTGTGTCAACACCATAAACATTTCAACCTACATGGATATACGGCCCACTCAGTTAACCCAGCAAGGTAAACATGTTGATAAGTACAGCGCGCCGGTACAGTGGCCCTGGCGTCCATTCTCTCAAGTGCTTTTTGAATGCATCAGGAAGAGAAATGTCTCAAGTTTTTTTCCAAATTGCCACTTTGTTAAAAATAATTTTTTTTTATTTTTTTAAAATTTGAATATTTAAGACTGCTGTATTTTTACTTGACAGGTATTGGTTGGGAATCCTATCAATTTGGCTAAATGTGTGTTGGTTTGGTTAGATTCGATTTCTGATTCAGTGATTTCTGAAACTTTTTCTCAGTGTTTGAATTTTGTTCATGTTTTGCGAGCCTGGGTGTGAAGTGTGTCGTGTTGCTTGTGTGACATTCAAGCCATGAATGGATGAAGGCCCCATTGACTAGCGCCCTTACAAACTGCAGAGTTAGATGAATGAACTACCACTAGCAGAATAACACCATCTGCACCGAGTGACCCCAGCACGGCTACACACTGCTGAGTTAGATGAATGAACTACCACAAGCAGAATACCACCATCTGCACCGAGTGACCCCAGCACGGCTACACACGGGGGTTTACTAACAGTGTGGTCGGCAGAATACACCGAATGACCCCACGGCACATTCCCCTGGCAGCCTATACAGGTGTCGTCTTCATTTGGTGTGTGTTTTATTATTCAGGGTTGGGGTCACAGAGTGCATCTCATTAGCCCCGATTGGGCATATATATGTATGTGACATGGCCTCAGAAGCCAAGCAGTGTTAGTTGGGCTTCAAGCTCTGGCAATGGTTGTGTAGGTTACAATCAATTGAGATCCGGGTTGTGATTTTGAATTTGTACTTGCAGCATGCTAAATTTAATCCACTAAAAGCTATTTATAACTCTGGTCTTTTTTAGGTTTGCTATAAAATGGATATGACTTGCGATCATTGTCACAAAGATGGACATTTGATGACACATGAAGTTATAAAATTTTCACTTTTAAGTAAATATTAAACCACTTTTTAATTTATTGAAAAATAAATTTCAATTTATTAAAAATTAAAGAAGATGTTACTTAGTGCCATGTAACTACGTCAGACCTTCACCTTGCAAACAAACAACAACTCCCATAATGCATTAGAATTGATGCAGACAAGTGCACTCGTTGACCTCTTGGCTAAACTGCTCCATTCCCGGTATTTACAAAGTTTTTGACAAACTTGGGATAAATCAGGTAGACGATCATTGCGGAGATTGCACCGAGTAACCTTTCTACCTCAACTGAGCCAGTGTTGGGAATAAATAGACCCACAATGCAATGCAATCCTCTCCAACGCTGGGGATTAATTAGGATTTGCACTCATTAAGCTTTTGTGAGGTGTGTGTACCATGGACTAAGTTCGGTCGCCTACACTGTACATCCTTTGAAGGATGCCATGGACTAGCAGGACCTTGTGGTCATAGCGATAGGATTATCGGTGGTTAAGGGACCGGTTATACATTAGGGGCATCCAGAGGTTTTTGATGCACACGTTTATGTAAACAATGACCCTCTCATAATGCTCGTCATATTTTTCATGACCCCCGACAAATATATGCTTTATTCTTTATTAAGGTTGGGCTGTGGCTAGCCGGGTGGTTAAAGCGTTCACTCGTCACACCAAAGGCCCGAGTTCAATTCCTTACATGGGTACAATGTGTGAAGCCCATTTCTGGTGTCCCCCACCGTGATATTGCCGAATATTGCTAAAAGCGGCGTAAAACTATATTTTATCACCCTCCCATTGAGAAGTGTTTGGGTGACCACCTGATTCCCACTGACCCCCCCCCCCCCCCCCCATAAGTAAAT